GAAAATCTAATTTCAGACTATTAGTACAATCAGTTCACTATTATAACTGTATGCGACAGCGTATCAATTTAAAAACCTATATTATATAATCAGTCACTGACTATCAACAAATTAAATTMATTTTTATGTTCAATTAATGATTATGAAAATTCTAATTTTGTCCACCTAAATCAAATTTCTGGAACACTGTGCTTCGTCCAGAATCTAAAATTAGCTATGTAATTTTAAAATGAGTTATGAATAGGTATTTTAAAATTGGAAATTGTTTGTATATCTAAAAAAACTCATAACTCGCTTTAAAATTAAAATATAATAAAAAGCCCATGAAATGCCCCAGATAATAATCTTGCCTTTAATTTTTAATAGACCAATTTATTCTAAATTTTTAACTAACAGAGATAAACGTGATATGCTGAGCGTAAAATGTACTATGCTACGCACTTGTACCACGAAAACAACACATGTGGGAGTGGCGTTCTCTTAATGACTTGTATTAATATTTTTATTATTATTATTATATCATTGAATTCAAATTGAATATCATCCATTACTGTTACACACTTGTAAAAACTACTGTACAACAGAGTGACACCTACTCATCCGCTTTTTTCTTTTAAATTTAAACTCTTGTACTATATTAATGTATTAATAAATATTAATAGGTATTGTTTTTTTTTGCTTTTCTATCACTAATATCAATTTTTTCACACACAGTCGCAAGTCACGCACACAACTGCTGGCCACTTTAAATATTGTCTGTAGTTAACTCCTTGAACATATACCATCACCGATCCTCTGGTATAGTAATTAAATGTAGTAATAATAACAAAATTAGTCAGTAATAAGTAATAACTAGGGCTCGGATTTTAAAGTATAATAAATAACAAAAAAAGCGCAAAATTGTTTTAAAAAAGCAAAAATGAAGTATATTTTTATTAAAAACAAAAGCATAAATAAAGCATGGCCAAAAATTGACATGAATTAATTGTAAAACTGACTAAAAAAAATTGAAAAATTAATTTAAATGAAAAAAAAATTAACTACCCTATTAAGATTTTCAGTAGTGAAACTTGGATTTTCTTATTAATCAAATACATTTTTTTTTCTACTACTATATTGCATAATAAACATAATATAATACCTAAAATAACCAGAAAAAGCAAAAATAAATTGGTTTATTTGGAATGAGAATTACGTGAAACGAATTTATGAATAAAAATTAAATTTCTATATTATATATACAAAAAAAAAGCATTTGCTTTAAAATCTAGCCCTAGTAATACCTAACTTATACTTACCTAATAACAATAAGTACTTAAAGGCTATAATAAGAAATTAAAATTATGAAAATCGGGGAAACGAAGTCATTGTGCTGAAATTCTGGATAGTGGTAATAGATATCGAGTGTACCTCCAAGTTCCAACACTGAGTTCTGAGTACCTAGCTCACTTTTATGGACATTTTTAAATTTGAATTTTTTGATAAATCTTTGTATAATGTATACAAAAAAACGGTTCTAAACAGAGTCGGTGGGCAGTTAGCATATATTTCTAAGGATATTTAATTATACGGATAAATTATAGCAGTATGCCAGTATAAATATAATATAATATTTATACTGCTATAATATAAGTTATTAGAGATTTATTTTTCTATTAGTAATAAATATGGCTAGAATTATTAGGATTTATTTGCAATAAAAAATTATGAAATATGCATCTGGGATCTGGCTCATTAAAAATACGCAAAAATTTACCAAAAAAATAGTATAAATAAATACTTAGAATACAAAAATACTTTTACAAAGTTCTAAAATCTAAAAAA